AGATATCTGTACTCATGGGTTGAAAGAAATGATATAGAGAAATACTGTAAAACTTTAAATTCAGCAAAAAGAGCAAAGAAGGAGGCATCACACTGAGTTTAAAATCTATAACAAAGCTATGCTAATCAAGACACAAAACAATGGCAGTGAAAACAGATACACTTGTCAATGGAATACAATAGGGAACTCAGAGGTAGGGGGAGAATGTATTTATGGTCAGTTGATTTTGAATACACTGTGTACCAAGAGTACACAGAAGGTCCAGGCACAGTGGCTTTGCCCATTATACCAGTGACTTGGAAGGCTGATCAGATGTACAAGCCAGCCTGGACAACTTTGCAAAATCCTGTCTCAAAATAAATAAAATAAAATAAAATAAAATAAAAAGGGCTAGGGATGTACCTAAGTGCTAGAGTGCCTCTTGGGTCAACCAATAGTGCTGGGGGTAGGATTGATAGGTAGAAGAGAAAGGACTGTCTCTTGAATAAATTGCATTGGAACAACAGGATAGCCACATAAAGAAGAATAGAATTTGAGAATGTATCACACCATATACAAAAAACTTCAAAGGGGCTAAAAAATTTTAACATACCACATGGAAATGTAAAACTAYTTGAAGAAAACACAGTGCAAAACTCTATGACATTGGTCTGAGTAATGACTTTTTGAATGAATCCCAAATCCTGGCATCAAAAMCAAAATTAGACAAATGGGATTACATCAAACTAAAAAGCTTCTGCACAGAAAAGGAAATAACCAAATGAAAAGGCAGACTACAGATTTGGAGAAAACATCTTCAAACCATATACTAGATAAGGGCTTAATATCCAAAATATATACAGAAMATGTATATATACATATAACTGAATAGTAGAAAAACAAATGTCSAATTTAAACACCGGCAAAGGACTTGAACAGACACTTCTCAAAAGAAGACAAACAAACTGCAAATATATAAAAAAATGCTCAAAATCACTAATCATCAAGGAAACACAACTTAAAACTACACTGAGAGATCCCACTTCACACTTGGTAAGAAGACTATAATCACAAAGAAAAAGCAAGCATTGGCAAGGACACGGAGAAAAGGAAACCTTGGCACAATGTTGGGGGGAATGTAAATGAGCACAGCTATGATGACAGATAATATGGAGGCTCCTCAAAAATTTAAAAATGTATAGCCATCCAACAACTGGGACTATATTCCAAGGATATGAATAAGTATGTCCCTGAGATATCTCTCATGTTTACTAAAGTACTATTCACAATAGGCAAGATTTGGAATTGACCTAAGCACCCATCAAAGGATGAAAGGATAAAGACAATGGATAAACACAACACACACACACACACACACATACACACACACATACACACACACACAAGAATACTATTTGGCCTTAAAAAAGAAAGAAATCTTGTCATTTGCAGCAACATGGATGAACCTGGAGGAGTTTACATTAAATGAAACAAATCAGGCGCACACACACACACACACACACACACACACACACAAAATGCTGTCTGAATTCACTTAAATATGAGGAATAGTCAAAAATTGATCTCATACAAGTGGATAATTAGAATGAGGATAGTCAAGGGCTGAAGGACAGGAAGAACTGGGTGCATATTGGTCAAAAGACATAAGTATGTGATAAATATACACATTTTGTGCCAATGAAAATAATATGCAACCAACCTAGATGCCCTTCAGTAGATGAATGGATAAAAAATGTGGCATATATACACAATGGCATATTTCTCAGCAATAAAAGAGAAAAAAATCATGACATTTGCAGGTAAACAGATGGAGCTGGAGAAGATAATGCTAAGTGAAGTTAGCCAATCCCCCCCAAAACAAATGCTGAATGTTTTCTCTGATATAAGGAGACTTATTGATAGTTGGGTAGGGAGGGGGAGCATGGGAGAAATAGATGAACTCTACATAGGGGAAAGGGGTGGGAGGGGAAGGGAGTGAGCAGGGGATTAGCAATGATGGTGGAATGTGATAGACATCATTATTAAAAGTACATGTATGAAGACACAAATTGGTGTGAATATACTTTATATACAACCAAAGATATGAAAATTTGTGCTGTATATGGGTAATATAACTTGTAAAGCATTCCACTGTCATTTATTTWAAAAAAAATTAATAAAAATATGTGGATGTTAATTCACAATAAGTAGGGGGCACTAGAGAAGAATAGAGTTACCTTAAATTAGGTAGAGGGAAGTGAGAGGGAGGGGAGGGGAKGGAAAGTGGGGAGAGGAAGGATATTAGAACAAACAGACATTATTACTTTATTTATACATCCTGTCTATGTATGATATATCAAAGTGCATAAATGCATTCTACTGTCATGTATAACTAATTAAAACAAATAAAAAATTAAAAATTAAAAGCAATCAAGTCAACACATAGAAACCTAGACATTAAAAGGATTAAAAAGAATTCTTATGATTAATTAGAACTAGGTATTTGAGAATCAGATAAAATTAACACATATCTAGAGGACACAAATGACCAAAAACAGACTCAGGAAGTATAAATCAGACACCAATAACAAAGTTAAAAATTTATATCCCTCCAAAAAGGACAGAATGGACTGATATGGCTTCATGGGTGAATTTTACTGAATATTTAATTAAGAAATAATATTAGTCTTCCCATTTTTTTTTCCAGGAAGTAAAGAAAGGGGAAAGTCTCAACTCATTCTATGAGGAAAATGATAAAAACATCTCTTGTAACCAGAAGCCATTTGTTTGTCAGCAACAAAGCTAAGAAAAAGATGCTTAAAAAAGCCTTTAATACTGAATTGCAGAAAACAGGGGACTACCAAATATCACTGGTTATAGTGGATCTTTCCTCCAAGGTTTAATTTCCGAACTGCGATTGATAAAAATAATAAAAATGGGATTTTTTTTCTTGCTATTTATACATTTAATTATTCCATAAGCTTCATAATTGATTTGGGAATGAGGCACTTCAGGGCCCAGAGAAGTTGAAAGTCTTACCTTCAGCATCTCAACTGTTGACCCTTCCAACCGACGTTCCAGATCTGAGATAACATCTTTCACCAACTGGCTCTGCTGGATCAGCTCACTTTCAGACTCTGTCAGGCGGTTCATAATAACTTCCTCCTCGTTCTTCAGTTTTTGAATCTCCTGCTCCTCCTCAGAGTTCAGGATGTCTCCCAGTTTTCCAAACTCTACCTGGACATTTTCTACCTCACTCTGTATTTTGCTCTTTGGGAATGAGAGAGAGAAAGAGAGAGAGAGAGGGTCACTCAGTCTATCAGGTGGAACTGGGAACAGAAACCACAAGAAGAACTATTTTACCTGGTGAGTTCTCACAGGGTAGTCTTGGAACCAAGGGAGAGATTCTGATCTTTCTCTTTCCCTTCCTTCATGACATTCCAAAACAATGACCTGAAGTCAGCATTGTCCAGACTCAACCTGAGCTGCAGTGGGATACCTGGGTGTGCCTCAGCTTTCACACAGCTATCCAGGACACCCATACCTGCTCTTAATTTCACTTCCTCCTCCTCCTCCTCCTCCTCCTCCTCACCCTCCTCCTCCTCCTCCTTCTTTTTTATTTTAGTTTTTTTTTTAGTATAATAGACTTTATTGAAGTCACTGCCTCTGTACTGAGACAGAAGATTGTGTCTACAAAGCACAAGTTGTAACATTTCACAACTTCTAAAAGCAATATCAACAATTACAATGATCATGCAGGCCATGGTTGATAATCACATTTTGGAAGCATTTTTAAATATTTCAAAAGAAATGCTTATAACACTCTTATATAGAGAAGCACTTTCAATAAACTACAAAACATTGATCAACATTACCAGTATGAGCCAYAGTATCAACACAAAGGGGAGGCATAAATGTTTAATTTATTAAGAAAGAGATATTTATTATAAAGAAAAATTAAAAAGCTTTCAAATAAAGGCCATTATTAAACCAACATGAAGAGCACAACTTGAACTTTTGAATTTATTCATCTTTTAAAGCTCTCCTCTGAATAACTTCAATTCTAAGCATGGAATTTACTACTGTGAGTATTCTTGGATTGAAGTTTGGCAATAATGCGGTCGGTCCAACTGTCTCTTTGCTTCACACTGTGGGAAACTGCTCATGTCATAAAATTCAGGGGCAATTTCCACCAGCCATTCTGGCTTGATATCTCTACGTGTCCAAATGTAATTCGTTGTTGTTAGAAGAAACTCATTATAAAGCACCCATTCAGCCTTGTGGTCAAGAACTCTAGAGGGGTGCAACTGAACCACCTAGTTACCTTTCACAGTTAAGTAACGTCCCGTTCCTTCTAAATGTGCCACCTGCATAAAATATCAAGTAACTAAAGCTTTTCTTATGTTAATAGTCCCTGCTTGTAAAGTCAGTACTTCTATGAGACAAATTAAATCTGTCCATAATTCAAGATAGCTGCTGGCATACATTGTCTGTGGATATCAGGGACTGGTAGTTGATGAAGTTGCCATATCACCACTGAATGGACCCATGATTTTGTTTAAAATCATGACATTCAGCAGAGTCAGATCATCTCCATCTATGTGGGCAAATCTCATCTTGGTCTCATCTGCAGCTTTCTTGGCCTCCATGGGGCGAACAAAACACTGTGGAACTGACAACATATGAGCAGAATGTGTTGAATGAGCTGAGTGGGTTGAATGTGCTGAATGGGAAGCTTTCAAAGGTGGTAGGTGGGACCTCATTAGAACAGTTGTAGTTGCAACTTGCAATAACCATTTTAGCACGCAGTGGATCTAGAGGAAATTCTGCCATCATGGATCCCAATTCAGTCAAATCTGCATCATCATTTAAAGCAYCCAGATAATGCAAAATTTCTAGGGCTCCCATCAGAGTTTCAGGAGCTGGTGGATCCATAAAATCAAAATGCACCAATTCATCAGAAACAAGTTTCTTCAACTGTAACACCACTGATGCTAAATTAGAATGCACAATCTTAGGATAGGTGTTATCCTGCATTTCTGTTTTATAAGTTTTCTCTGTGTAAAGCCTGAAGCATTTCCCAGGTCTGGTATGTTCAGCTCGACCAGCTCTTTGTTGAGCTGAAACTGCTCTAATAGCTGTCACCAAAAGAGTGACATTGATGTCAGTGATGTCCTGCAAATGTTAGTTGACACAACCACCTTCTTCCAATTACTCCATTTTATTTTTGGGGAGGTGGAGGGTGCTGCTGCTGAGTGGAAGTGTAGCAAACAGTGCAATGGTTTCTTTTTCTTTTCATTTTATAGAGTTTTATTACAGGATGTTAATATTCAGGACATTTCAGAGCACCTTATACTTCTAATCAGATTTTTGGTAACTGGTTTTAAAAGTATTACTTGAGTATTTTTCCACATACCAGTTTTCAGGCAAAAGTACTATCAGTGACTGTTTAAGAGATGTTAATTTGATTAAACAGTTTATCCTTAATAACCTGAGACATCAATCCATGGATGGCTTCT